CGCTTTCTCCACCGGCATCCTCTGGTTCTTCTCGCACCGCGCCTCGAGCGCCTGGGCCTGGATGAGATCCGCGCCCAGCGCCGCCTCCAGCTGCGCGCGCCAGCCCTCGCCCAGGCCCTCGACGCCGCGCGCTCGGACGTGCTCCACCCAACGCGCGAGCAGATGCCCCCGCGGATCGTCGTCGTGACCGAAGCGCTGCGGCCCTCGCCCGTGCCTCTCCACGAACGCCTTCACCTCGAGCACGCGCTCCTGCGCCGTCCGCCGCTGCCACGCACGCCTGTCCACCATGCGATCGAACCTCTCCTTGTTGTCATCATCCAGCTCGTGGTGGCCTTTGCAGACATTGTGGATCCAACGCGCGAGCTTTGCCTCCTCCTCGTCTTCGGCCCCTTGCTTCGGCAGCTCGTCGAGCACCTCCACGTGCTCCCCGATGCGGTCCAGCATCGCGCGGGCGCGCGCACGCCTCTCCTCCCGCCGGTCCACGAGCCCGTCGAACCGCGCGCGCTGCTCGGGGGTCAGCGCCACCTCCCCAGAACTCACGTGATCAACCCATTTTCCGAGCGCGGACTCACGCTGGTGCGGCAAACGGCCGTGCTCCTCCACGTGCCTCGCCAGCTCGCCCAGCATCTCCTCCGAGTGGTCCCGCGATCGCGCCTCCGCGCCAGCATGCTGGACACCGCTCATGTCGATGCCCAGGTGCGCCGCGAGCGCAGCCCTGTGCGCATCGGCCTCCAATCGCAGCCGCTTCTGTTGCTGAACATTCCATTGCCGCGAGGGTGGCGCGTCTTCGTCGCCCTCCGCCCGCAATCGCGTTGCCAGCTCATGCAACTGATTGCGAGTCATGCGCGCCAACACCTCCGCGTCCACACCGTCGCGCGCGCCCCCGCGCGCGCCCTGCGCCCCTGCGGCAATCTGCTCCACGCGGCGCTTCGGCACCCCGCCCCTCAGCGCGCCACGCCCCGCGCCCGCTCGCGGCGACCGCGACGCCGAGCTCGAACGCCCGCGAGCGACGACGCGACACCACGGCGCGCTCTCGGCTTCCCCCCACTCTACATCTCCAGAACCCACCCACTCCTCCACCGCGCACACGTGGCCGCCGTCGAGCCACAGCAGAGCACCAGCGCAGAAGCCCGCTGCGTCCCCCAGCGCCCACGCCACACGCCTTCCTTCCTGCGCTTCGAACGCTCCCGCAGATTCCGCAGAGAACACGCGCAAGTGCAGGAAGCGGGAGCGCAAGTGCTGGACCACGACCTCCAGATTCCAGCGCTGCAACAGCGACCCACAAGCGCCCGAACCCTCGTGGTTCTTACACGCGCGACCGAAATGCCGCGCTGCGTCGCCCCCCACGAGATCAGCCACTGCGTTCTGCAGGCACTTCCCACGCCACTCGACGGGAGAACTGGCGCGCGCGCGGCGGCTCCCCCGCCCGCGTCCGCCGCGCGGTCGCGCGCGCGGTGAGCGCGCACCACCGAACGCAGTCGCAGACATAGGCACGGCGCCTATCTGCGTCGCCCCGCTGAGCCCCGCCGGACACGCTCCGAGAGCGACCATGGCGCAGGCAGCGCAGACGGCCAAGTCCCCGACAAAGCTCCTGGACTCCTGCGCGGTCGGGCACTTTGCCCCGCCGATGCCCACGCCCCGCGAAAAACGGCACGCAGAGACGCGGCGGCGGCCACACGTCCGCGCCGAGAGCCCGTTTAGCGCGCAGCAGAACCACCTGGCAGCAACGACCGCGGCTACACGATCGGCCAGCTCGGGCGCGTCCAGAAGCTCCCGCGCAAACACATCCTGGTGCCGCCACCAGCGCGCCACCGCGATCTTCCTCGTCATCACCACTCTGCTGCCTCGCTGTGGTGGGCACACGCCGAGAGCAACGAGAACGCAGGCAGCGCGCAGGGCGGCATCGCCCACAGTCCACGACACTATGTTCATTTGCATCGCCGCCGGATCTGGCGCGCGGCTTGCCCCGTCGCGGACGCGGGCAGCCTTGAGGGAAGTGCCGCGGCTCACGCCTCGCGCCAACCACGACCTGCCCTCGCAGAGGGTACGCGCCGCTCAAAACGTGGGGCGTTTCTGCGAGTCGCGCCGGACGCAGAAGCCTTTACGACGCGCACGGCGTCCCAGATGCTCTGCCTCCGACAAAGCGCCATCAAACAGCTGCCGCGCGTCGTCCGAAAGAGAACATTTTCGCGACATAGTCTGCGAACCCTTGCAACTTTCCACGGCGAGGAAATTAAGCTTGGAGTTCGTGCTTTCCGCGCGTGAGTCTCCGTCGACCTCCTCGCGAGCAGCGTTCGCGGCGAGGTCGCCCGCGTGGCAGTCGTTTTCGCCCTCCCCTGAAATCGCCTAGGTTTGGCCTGCTTCCCCGCCAGTGGCTGGGGCCAAAAGCGAAGCAGCGGCGCAGCCAACACCATCCCGTGCAGTAGATCCCCTCGACGCTGCTTTCCCCGGGTGCGTTGAGCCACTCTTGTTGAGCCAAGCGTTTACTCGCGCGCATTCAATCTGCAATAACGTGCGACACGGAAGGTAAAGTGATTTGGGTCGTAGCGCGCCCTATCTACAATATATAATTGAAAATGGTTCAACTGGCTACAGCACAATGCATCGCATCGCTTATCAGCGCGTCGAATAACAAAGTAAACCGCATGTCACCGCATAACAAATCACCGCGCAACGCCACGCAGCAGAGCACAATCTAACATATGGCATCATACCATACAATACCGCGACACACCATAGCATTACATACTACACTATGTCAACACGTAGCAAGCAATTGACAAGCAATCGCAAAGTACTGCTTTATACGGCATCACCGAATCGCGTACACTGCCCTGGACTATCATCGGACATCATCGCGTCGCATCGCATAGCAAAACATATAATGGCGTGGATGCCAGAACTCCCCATCGCTTTGCAATGCGTATCACCGCAATACACCGCATATCATACCATACCACAACAACAACGGGACAACTGGCCTTAAATAGCGAACCTGGTTGACTGGCAGCAGAACTACCGACCACAACAAAAACCTGAATGTGATGGCCAGCTGGTGGTGGACCAGTCAGTTGGGCGAAGGGGAGGGGGGGGTCTGGCTCCGGACCGCTGCTTCCTGCGACTGTGTGGGGCAGTGCGCCCTACGGGGGAGACTCCACCTGCTCGAAACAGGCGATTGAAAAAAAAACAGCGAAGATCTTCTCCACTGGGGGGGAGGGAGGCTGGGGCGGGGGCCCGCGCCGATCGGCAAAACAGTGATTTTAAAAAACGATCACCACAGGGAGCTCGTTTGTTCGTCTGGCGCGCGGGGCCCGCGGGCGTGGCGCCTGCGTTGGGTCGGTGGGCCTGCGGGGGGACCCGAGGGCCTGCCCGGGCCGTGGCCCCCGAGGGGGGCCCTGAGCCGCAGGGCGGTGAGCGGAGGGCACTGGCTTGTGGAGAGGAGGAAACAGCACAAGATACAGTCATCGGCCTGACCAAAGGAACGATGAATAAGGAACGACGCCCCTTTTCCCTTCAAGGAATAACGCGTAAGGAAAGACACAGAATGCATGGCGCGCAAGGAGCGAGGAATCACGCATGCAAGCCGGAGGAACGACCGAGCCCCTTTTGGAAAGTAAATGTTCCATATCCAAGCCGCTCACTGCATTGCGCAACGTAGATTGCACCACAGACTTTGCTTGACACAGGGCGCACAGCACAGATTGCGCACCACATCGTTTGCACAACACTGACCGCACCACAAATAGTGTGCCAACTAGGTTACACTAAATATACATGTATACCTACGTACATATATACATACATACATACATACATGCATCCATACATACATACATACATACATACATGCATACATACATGCATGCATACATACACACACATACATGCATACATGCATAGGTACATGCATGCATGCATGCGTATATACATACAGACATACATGCTTACATTTTGCACATAATATGTTGCGACACAGGTGCTGCACCACGAAGAGTGCACCATATCTATTGTTCCACCTATTCACATTGGACATCATACAGTGGTCCACATAGGTTGCACCACATTACAAAGCCCAGCAAAGATTGCACAATTTATACTGCACAACGTATGTTGCACAACCTAGATCCTGCAACAAATATTGCACAAAGCAGTTTGCACCACATATATGTCAACGCATGCATGTGTCCACCTACATTGCGCAGCATAGACTGTACCATACACACGTCTATATGTCTATATTATATATATATGAACTGCGCCGCAGATACTGCATCATACAGATTGTGCAGCATCGATTGTACAACATATATTGCTAGAAACACAATGTGTGGGGTCCACGCTGGCTAACATTTTTACACAACCCTCACCTGGATTCTGCGCAAACGCCGCGCGCCTGTTTTCATGGTAAAGAAAAGGTCTGCGGACCCCGTTATTTCTCGAGGATCCGACATGGGGGCTGTACTTGCCCTGAGCGGGCACGCAGAAAACGTATTCATTCGACTGAACATTCGGGGATGGACAAAACCCTCTTTAGCAAAACGTGGCTCAGTGAAAACAACCTCGGGCCCAAACCTGGCGGGCGCAAGCCTGGCAAATGACGGCCGCAGAACTCTCTCGAGAACCGAAAGCGGACAACTCACTAATCTACGTGTCAGGGTGGGGGTTCTGTCCACCCCCTGAAAATGGCACTTCGTTTCGTTTTGCATCGAGGCGAAATCCGCTGAGCTGGCCCACCTCAATCGAGGGACCAGGAAACAGACTTGCAAACTTGAAGAGAATCCTGGACCCACGCCCATTCCTTAAGAATCAAAAAGGACGGGGGGGAGGGAGGGACGAGGGACCAGGTCTGCCGCAGGCAGCTGGATAGACCATGATAGTGACGTTGCCATTTGTGCCGGCCAAGGCACCTCCGCCAGTCACTAAATCGACACCCGAATAGACCACGGATGGATGCGCCGCGAATCCGGAACCGCCGCCGCCGCTGCCATGCCAAAAAGGCTGCCCTCCTCCAGCCCCGCCTCCGTAGTAGCCGCCACCGCCGCCGCCGCCGCTCCAGCCCGAGCTTGAATTCCCATCACCGCCTTTGTATTTCCCGCCAGCGCCTCCCGTCCTCTTGGTGCCGACTCCCCCCGCGCCCCCGGCGGAAGCCGTGCCACCCTGGCCGGAGAGCAGAGAAGAATCGCAGTCGGTCCCGCCAGCCTCTCCGCCACCGCTCCCTCCTTGGAGGAACCCAACATCTGCACAGACAGTCTAAACTGTTGGAGGTCCGCGCGGAATGCGTGGGTCGGCGCCGGGCCCCCCACCCCCTCCCCCGGCGCGCAGCACGAGCCAGGGGCAGCGCCGGAGCTGCCGCGAGGGGGCTCAGCGCCGACCAAAAGAAATCCGCACGGACATCCGAAGGTCCATGTTTATGCAGTTGAGGTGTTCTTCGACTCCTGGCCCCTTGCACTCGACGGATGCCACCCACTTACCCGAGCCACCTCCGCCCCCACCCGCAGTGAGGATGTCCTCACCATCGAGCCTGACGCTCGAACGGCCACCCCCGCTTCCGGCTGTGTTGTAACCGTCGCAGGCAGACCTGCCGCCGCCGCCGAAGGCGTTGTGGTAGCAAGGGTCTGGAGATGACCCGTCTCCCCAAGTGGCGCCGGCTTCCCCGACGACGACCGTCAAGCGGTCCGTGCCCGCAGGGACGATGATGACGGCCTCGGCGTAACCTCCAACCCCACCTTCCGTTCCTGATCTCAAAAAGTTCCCTCCGCCAGCACCGTAGGCCTTCACCAGGAACTGAGTGTGGCCCTGCGTGTAATAATACTGGTCGCTCCCAGTGAAGGTGAAGACCTGTTCCGACGAGAGCATGTCTGCATGATGGTACTTGGAAGCATTTGCTAGCGATGCCACTGTAGCCGTCGCAGCAATATCCGAACCAGAATGGAGAGAAATTACGGTTGGCACCCTGTGGACAAACAGCCCCACCAGGCACGTGAGCCAATGTGCCTTCTGGTTAGTCATGAGCCTCGCGCTGACTGTGCGCTACCGAACGAGGAGGCGTGAAGGTAAAGTGGTGATCAAATGGACTCAGTCTTGGGCCATACACAACACGGTGTGATACAGACAATGGTGATAATGGCAACTGTTACGTGTGCATCTAAACACAGCTACGCGGCAAACGTTAGGCCATGTGCGGGGCCCCCAGGGGCGATCTGACAAAACCCTCCAGATTGCAATTCGGGACAACCCGCCCGGAACCCCCACTTTGTTTCTTTGTTTCGGTGTGTGTGTGTGTTGTTTCTACAGTTGCTTCTTATGTCTATCTGCAGGTTTTCGGGCTTTTCTGGTGGGAAAAACTCCCGAACAAACACCCAACTCCAGGCTTTCTCCTGTGATGTTTGCGGAGGCTTCGGGGGCCGCACAATTAAACACGATCCTACTTCTAAAAGAACGCCCAACAACAAGCACAACAGAACCCAACTCTAAGATGTGTCCAAACAGTTGTTCGAAGGTTCTCTGGCCCCTCCACGCTCCCGGCCGCAGGCTGCCTGTAGACTGCCGCAGGCTCGTGCCGCGCCGGCTTCGGCACTGGTTCCGGGCACCGCGGGGACCGATCGGCCTCGTGAACGCTCGGCCGTGTCCGGAACATCAGATCGTTCAACATCGACCGACTCTGGATCGCTGGCGGCGTTAGACGCTGAACGCCGGCGGCGTCGGGGTCGCCGCCGGTCGACGCGACGCGAACCTACCGTGGGGATCCGTGGATCTGGCGCGCGGGCGCCAGGTCCACGGATCGGGAGAACGACCCCCCGAGACATGGCGCCGATGCTGCCTGCTTCGGCGACGGAGCGTGCCGCTTCTGCACGGAAAGGGGGCCCGTCGCTGATCCATGCTCCGTGATCCGTGTGCGCCTCCCCTCGATTGGGTGGCGACATCCGAGCCCTATCCTCACCAATCCTCGACTCTCCTGAATCGACGGGAGGCGGGGGTAGGGGTGGGACTTCGTTACGCATCCGACGAACTCGGAACGTTGCCCCCGCCGCCCAGCGAGTTGACTGAATCGCTCACCGGCGAGGGCAGGGCCCGGATTACGACGCCGATCAAAGGCGCCCTCAGGCCGCGCCCGCCGCCGGCTCTGGGGACGCACAAGGCGCGCACTCAAGAAGCCTCGGCGTCCCGCTTCATGGCCGCTCCCTTCGTGCGGGTTTGCCGCGCCGCGAGGGCCGCTGGTCGTCGTCGTCGTCGTCGTGGTCGTGGTCGTGGTCGTGGTCGTCGTCGTCGTCGTCGTCGTCGTCGTCGTCGTCGTCGTCGTCGTCGTGGTCGTGGTCGTTGTCGTGGTCGTCGTCGTCGTCGGTTTCGTCGGCATCGGCGGCCGCGGTGGCCTCGCCCGTCGGGAGCGGGGGACTCCCCTGAGATCCGAGGCCAAAAGGGAAGAAGGCAACGAACGGTAGGTTGGCAGAACTGGTTTTAGTGGGACCTGGTTCAGTGATGTGCACTGGGGGACGCCCCCCCCGCCCCGTTCCTCTGACCAGAACTATCGTTACCTGAAAAAAAAACAGTTGCGGCAGACCTGGTTTAGAAATTCTGGCTAATTGAGGGGCTCCGGGGCCCTACCACTAACCGGGTCCCCTTGCCTGGGGTCCTGGCTAGTCTGATTTTTGCATTGTCGGTCAAAATTAAACCGCATGCCAGGCCGACGGCCGCAGACGCAGACCAACGTGGACGCGCAGACAAGCAGGCACATGTACAACCCGACGGTCAAACAGACAGACAGCGATTATGGCATGGTAAATGCCGATGGCGATGATGACATGACCCAAGTGATGGCGAGGGTTGCTTTTGCAGCGCGCACGGCAGCCTAGGATCACACGTGCTGGAACGAGGGAAAGTAGCACGAGCGACAAGAGTGGGCATGCACACGCATGCTACCTCCCTGAAGGGAAAAGGAGGAGCGAGGATGGGGCAGAGGGGAGGAGCGAGGAGGGGGAGGAGAAGAAGAGGGGTGCAGAGAGAGGGGGAGGGAGAGGAGGAGCGAGGATGAAGCAGGGAGGAGAAGAATAAAGCAGGGCGGAGGAGGAAGAGGAGAGGGGTAAGGAGGAGCGCCAGGTCGCAGAGCCGCAGGAGGAGCACCAGGCTGGAGAGGACCATCTTACACCAGCACACTCCCGCCCATCCTACACCCTCCACTCTTCCTCATCCTCCACGCACACCCTCTTGTCGCCGTGACCCCCATACCAGCTTGCAACGTGATGCAATGCAAAGCACAACACGATTGCAAGTTAAAGCAATGACAAAGCAATGTGATGCAGAGCGTTGCAAACCAATGCAATGCAATGCAACGCAAAGCAACATAATGCAAATATATTCGAAACAAAGCAAAGCAACGCATAGCAACGCAATGGCACTGCGAAGCAGAGCATAGCAACGCAATGCAAAGCAATGCAAAGCAATGCCAAGCAAGGGGGCCACGAGGCTGTAGACGGCGACGGCGCGGCGACGGTGCGGCGACGACGACGGCGCGGCGGTGGCAACCACAAGGTGTCGGACCCGACGCGCAGGCCCAAACGACGGGCGGCAACGAGGCGGCGACCGACGGTGGCAACGGCGACGACATAGCCGCCAGACTGCCAGACGGCCCGAGACGACGGGCGGCAACGAGGCGGCAACGGAGCGGCGACGGCGACGACATAGCGGCTGGACAGCCTGAGGGCCCACTTATGACAATCCAAAATACCAAACAATCCGTGCACACAAGAATATCTGGAGAGTTTTGAAAACATCCCAACCATTCTGTTTGGGCACTCGTTTTGAGAAAGACAGCGCCCCACGCACCCCCATCCCTGCCAGCCCTGCCTCTGCCCTCCGCATGTCTCTGTTTCGGCGCGCCCCTCACACGCTTCGTGGCCACAAAGGGAGCCCGAAAGCCGTACGGCAGCGTCCGCATGGCGTACGTGTGTCCAATTCGGCACACCCATCACGCGTTTCGTGGCCTCGGGTGGAGCTTCACCGAAGACCCCTGCGGCAGCGTCCGCATGGCGCACCCGCGCCCATATTGGGCACACCCCTCAGACGCCTCGTGGCCCCATGTGGAAGCCAGCCGAAGGACCCGGCGCAAACGCCCGCATGGCGCACCCGCACCCAACTCGGCACACCCCTCACACGAATCGTGGTTCCACAGGGAACTCCTAGCTCCTAGCAGCAGCGTCCGCACATGCACCCGTACACAAGTCAACACTCCCCTCAATCGTGTCATGGCCCCGCATGAAGCTCCACCGCAGGCCACAGCAGCAACGCCCGCACGCGGCTCCCGCACCCAATCCGGCACCCCGCACTCATGCGTTTCGTGGCCCCACATGGAACTCAATCGGAAGCCCCTGCGGCAGCACCCCGCATGGCGCACCCCCATCCGATCCGGCACACCCTTCACGCGTTTCGTGGCCCCACATCGAACTCCACCGACGGCCCTACGGCAGCGTCCGCATGGCGCGCCAGCACCAAATTCGGCTCACCTCTTCACACGCTTCGTGGCCCCACATGGAAGTCGTCAACACAAGGCGTGGAAACAACGCGCTCAAGGAAAAATGTCGGTGGCGCCCAGGGGGCATCATCATTCTTAATCAAGAATGTGGCCCACGCGCAAGCCAGCGAGACAAACGCGTCGCCATTATGCAAGTGCCACGCCCATTCCAGGCGGGCCGGGCTCGGCGTCACCGAAGTTTGGGTTATTATTCTAAGTGGGTAGTCCACGTTTGAAAGGGGGAGGACCGATGGGGGCGACAAGAGATCCGGAAGTGAAAAGCGGCTGCCGCGGCCCCCACCCTGGAGACTGCGAGCGTCGTGGGCCAGACCGCCTTCTCAGCCCGCTCCTTCCCGCTTCTTCAACGACGCCGTCACCGCGGCACGCCGCTCGCGCGCGCGCAGTGGCCGGGAGGCGCGGAGCCTCCATGAGGTCCTCCTCGGTCGAGCCCCCCCCCCAGACGCCCGCCCCCGCCCGCGGCGGCAGGGCGGGGGCCCCCGACAGGAAGGAGGGGGCCCCCCACCGTGGCGGGGTCCATTGGCACCCCTGCCGCAGCTCAGAGACCCCCCTGCACGGGGGGCGCCGCCGAGCCCCGCCCTGGGCGCGACCCGAGCCGAACTGTCGACGGGCCCTGATGAGCAATGATGTGTTCCAAGCGGCCACGCGCTGCAACTGCAACGCGGTGCGCGGCGGGCTCCGCCTTCCGAACCGCTCATAGGCTGTCGCCTCCTCGCCTGCGCCCTCTCCTGCCGGGGCGCCGTTGCAACCGCTTCGCGTCCGACGGTGCGACCTCGCCCGCGGCGCGCCCGGCGGGATTGACACCGCGACGTCGATCGACTCGCGGTGATCTTCGGAGGCCAGCGTCGCCTCGTCGTCGAGCGCGTAATCCTTCAGGCCCGCGGCCGCCATGGTGATCCCAAAAAACTCTTCGAAGTCCGTCGTCTTCGCGCTGCCGGGGGTCGTCCGCCTCATGGCCCCTCTCGCGCGGTAGTCGTTCCAGGCCCCCCGCCACCTTGAATGGGCGCCGTTCTTCCGAGATCTCGGCGATGAGTACCGCCGAAGACAGATTGTCCGTCGGCCCCGCCATGTCGAGTTCCGCCCACAGGTTGAACCGCCGCGGCCTTGGGAACGGCTTCCCGCCGACGAGCGTGCCGAGGAGCTCCAGCGCCGCGAGGGACCTGCTCGGGTCGCCCGCCTCGCCCGCGCCATGGGGGGTCCACTCCCTTTCAACTGCCCGCCAGCGCCGACGAGATCTTCGCGCGCTGCCGCCCAGCGGTGCTTCCCAATCGCCTGGCTCCAAGGGCGGCTCCTCCCAGACAAGGACCACTGCCGCGGGGGCCGGGCGCCCCACGCCCGCTGCCTTGTCGCCCCCGCGGGCGGTCTCCCAGCACCTTGCCGCTGCCGCAGCCGCCCCCGCCCCCGATAGACCCGCGGCATGAGTGGTGCAGTCAACGTGGAGGCCGATCCCGCTCACTTCGAGGCCGCCCCGCACCTTGGCCCTCTGCGCCGGGGAAGTCGAAAAGACGCCGAGACAAGTCGACGTCGCAACGCACTGGGGCATGTCTCGATGCATCGTGAGCGTGAGCTGCCTCGACTCGATCACCTCCAGTTCGTCGGTGTCAGCGAGGTGTTCAACGGGCCAGTCGCTGCCACGCGGCCGGGAGATCACCGGCAGCCCCGCTCCGAACATCTTATTTACCCATTCTGGAGCGCCGATGATGAAGAAGAAGGCGTCGACGCTGTTGCCGTGAATCTCGCCATCGGACAAGGCGGCCAGCAGACCCCGCCTATTCCCACGCGAGCCGCTGCTCTGCACGCGCGGCTGAAGATGGGCCACGCGCCAACGTGCGGGCGGGGATCCTGTCCCGAAGGATCGCGTGGAGCTCCGCCGCTGCTCGCGCCTGCGTCCACCTCCTTGACGGGGGTCCCATGGCTGACCTTCGCTGGCACCGCCACTGTCGAACAGTGGGTCGCGCTGCGCAGTGGGTGGCGACGCAACACTGCGAGCGCGGTTCCTGTCGGAGTTTGTGCTGGCACTGTGGGCCATTACACGACTCTGGCCGTCCACATGGGGGGGTCCAGGGGCGTCTTGACGTCATCTCGTTGCGATGTTCCAAGCCGCCTGGAAAGAACGTGGAACCTCTGGGACGCCTCTTGCTTCTTCTAGGAGCTGTCTTGGGCCGTCTTGAGGCTTTCCTGGGTGCCCAGTTGGCCGTATTGGGGGGGGGGTGAAGGCGTCGCGGGCCGCCTCAAGGCGCCGGAAGCCTTAAAGGGCGACAGCGATAAAATCAACCTTGCAGCGTCGGAAGCCAAAGAAAACCGAAAAGGCGGCAATGATTTGTCCGACGGTCGGACCTTTTCACGTCGACCCGCTTAGCTTGCCCTTGGCCTTTGTTCTCGCCGTGCCGGAAACCTTCCTCCCGCATTCAGTTGCGCCTCCTCATGTTCCTCCTCGTTTTCCTCCTCCGCCTCCTCCTTTTCCTCCTCCTCCTCCTCCTCCTCCTCCTCCTCCTCCTCCTCCTCTCCTCCTTTTCCTCCTTCTCCTCCTCCTCCTCCTCCTCCTCCTCCTCCTCCTCCTCCTCCTCCTCCTCCTCCTCCTCCTCCTCCTCCCTCCTCCCTCCTCCTCCCCTCCTCCTCCTCCTCCTCCTCCCTCCTCCTCATCCTCCTCCTCCTCCTCCTCCTCCTCCTCCTCCTCCTCCTCCTTTCCTCCTCCTCCTCCTCCTCCCTCCTCCTCCTCCTCCTCCTCCCTCCTCCTCCCCTCCTCCTCCTCCTCCTCCTCCTCCCCTCCTCCTCCTCCTCCTCCTCCTCCTCCTCCTCCTCCTCCTCCTCCTCCTCCTCCTCCTTTTCCTTCCATATCCTCCTCCTCCTCCTCCTCCGCCTCCTCCTCCTTATCCCCATATTCCTCCTCATCGTCCTTCTTTTCCGCCGTCCCCTCCTCCTTCTCATCCTCCTCGTTGTATTGATTGTGCTCCTCATCCTCCACCTCCTCCTCATCCTCTACTACTCCTCCTCCTCCCCCTCCCCCTTTTCCTCGTCCTCCTCTACCTTTTCCTCCTTCCCCCTCTCCTCATCTCGATTCCGCCGATTATCCTCATACACCTCCCCTGCCTCCTGGCTGGGGCAAATCGATGTTCCTCGGCTCCTTCGCCGCCAACATGCGCGCATTCCCCGATGGCCGGATCGCGAAGCCGTTGGGGCAACCCCACGGCCCACGCCGTTGGGACAACCGCGTGGGCCGCTGGGGCGCGGGAGCAAGCCGTCGGGACAACCCCGCAGCAACGCCCAGGCGGGAAGCAACGCGAAGCCCACTCTGCCGCGAACTGCTCCGCCTAAGCCCTGGAGTTCGTAGCCCCCTGCTGCTCTGTTACTGTCTGCAGGTATCTGCTACTCTCTGCTGCTGTCCGCTGGGCTGGGCTTGTCTCTGCTTGTCTTTGCCGTTCCCTGATGGCCTCTGCTGCTCTCTGTAAGCGCTGCTGCTCACCTGATGATTGCAGGTACTTGCTGCTCTGTGCGTGTCTCTGCTGCTCTCTGCTACTGGACAGTACCCTCTACTGGTTTATGCTACTCTCATCTGCTGTCTGCTGCCCTCTGCTGGTTTTTGCCCCTCTCAGCTGTACTCTGCTACTTTCTGCTCTGTGCTGCCCCTCTCTGCTGCTGCCTGGTCTGTGCTGTTCTCTGCTGGTCTCTGCTGCTCTCTGTTCTTCTCTGGTGTTATCTGCTGCTGTCTGCTGGTCTCTGCTGGTCTCTGCTGCTGTCTGCTGCTCGCTGCTGATTTCTGCTAGTATATGATGGTGACTGCAGGCAGTTGCTGGTGTCTGCGTGTCTCTGCTGCTCTCAGCTGCAAGGAACTACTCTCTACTGGTCTCTGATACTCTCGTCTGCTCACTGCTGCTGCCTGCTGATATCTGCTGGTCTCTGCTTGTCTCTGCTGCTCTCTGCTGTTGTCTGCATCTGTCTGCTGCTCTCTGCTGCTCTCCGTCGTCTTCTGCTGCTCTATGCTGCTCTCGTGTGGTCTGTGCTGCTCTCTGCCGTTCTATGCTGTTCTCTGCCGCTCTCTGCTGTGCCCTGCAGCTCTCTGCTGTTCTCTGCTGCCCTCTGCCGCTCGCTGCAGCTTTGTCCGTGCTGTTCTCTGCTGGTCTCTGCGGGTCTCTGCTGCTCTCTGGTGTTGTCTGCTGATGGTTGCTGGTCTCTGCTGGTCTGTGCTGCTCTCAGCCGTTCTCTGCTGTTCCCTGCTGTTCCACAGCGTGCTCTGGTCGCTGCTGCTCTCTGCTGGTCTGGCTGCCCTCTGCTGCTTTCTGGTGCTCGTTGCTGCTCTCGGCTGCTCGCTGCCGCTCTCTGTTTTTCTCTGCTGCTGCCTGCCGCTCTCTGCTGGTTCTTGCTGGTCTCTGCTGGCCTTTGCCGCTATCAGTTGCTCTTTGTCAGTCCCTGCGGGTGACTGCAGGCAAATGCTGCTCTCTGCGGGTCTCTGCTGCTCTCTGCCGCTGCACGCGAATGCCTGCTCGTCTCAGCTGCTCTCATCCGCTCTCTGCTGCCCTCTGATCTGATGTTTTCTGATATCTGCTACTCTCTCCTGTCGTCTGCTCCTGCCTGCTGCTCTCTGCTGGTCTCCGCTGGTCTCTGCGGCTCGCCGCCGCTCTCTGCTGCCCTCTGGCAGTCTCTGCTGCGCTCTGCTGCTGTGCGCTGCTGGATGCTGCTCCCTGCTGCTCGCCGCTGCTCTCTGCTGCCCCCTGCCGGTCGCTGCTGCTCCGTGCCGCCCTTGGGCGCTGCCTGCTGCTGCCTGCCGGCCTCTGCTGCTCGCTGCGGGCCTCCGCTGTCTTTGCTCGCTGGCCTCTGCTGGCCGATGCTGGCCTCCGCCGCTCGTGTCTGCTCTCCGCTGCTCTCCGGTGGAGCATTCCGATGGGCCCGCGCGGGGTACCAGCGCGAAGTGCTGGGCCCACAGGGAGGGGGCTCCTGCCTGAGGCTTCCTCGCGATTCACTCGCAGGCGAGGCCCGCCTGAGACATCCTCACGGTGCATCTCCCTGGGGTGGTCCGGGTGCTCTGCCTGGTGGGATGTTCCGATGGCCCGTTCGGATTGCCAGCATGAAGTGCGGGCCCCATGAGAAAGGGGCTCCCGCCTGAGACTTCCTCGCAATTCATTCACGGACGACGCTCCTGCGTGAGACATCCTCTCGGTGTGCCTCCTTGGGGGTGATCAAGTGCTATGCCTGGTCGGATAGTCCAACGACCCTCTCGGATTACCGTCATGAAGTGCGGGCCCCATTGGGAGGGTGGGGCGATTGAGGCATCCTCACGGTTTGCCCCCTTGGGGTGCTCGAATGCTCTGCCTGGTGGGATAGTCCGATGACCCACTCGGTTTACCAACATGAACTGCGGCCCCATAGGGAGGGGGCTCCCGAAAGAAAATTCCTCGCTACCCACTTACAGACAAGGCATGCGCTCGAGTGATCATCAAGATAAGTGTGTGTGTGTGTGTGCGTGAATGAAAGAACGAATGAATGAATGAATGAATGAATGAATGAACGAATGAATGAATGAATGAATGACTGAGTGCTGGTGGTAATGCTGACGATGATGATGATGATGATGATGATGATGATGATGATGATGATGATGATGATGATGATGATGATGATGATGATGATGATGATGATGAGTGCTCTGAATTCGAATGATGAGTACGGTGTAGTGATGATGATGGTGATGGTGGTGATGGAGATGAGGATGAGGATGATGATGGTGATGGTGATGGTGATGATGATGACGATGATGATGAGTGTTATGAATTAGAGTGACGAGTACGGTGTAGTGATGATGATGGTGATGGTGATGGTGGTGATGGTGATGGTGATGATGAGGATGATGAGAATGAGTATGATTATGATGACGCTCATGCTGATGCTGATGCTGATGCTGATGCTGATGCTGATGGTGATGATGTTGATGATGATTATGATGGCCGAAGGTCATGGCGTTGTAAGGATGACGATGTTGACAGTGACAAGTCTGCTGGCGATGGCGATGATGATTACAACGGTGATGGAAACGACAGACGGGTGTTCATGAGTATGACGATGGGGATGATGCTGATGAGGATGATTAATGGTGACGCCGAGTGTGAAAAGAAGAGAGGAGGACAGAAGGGGGTGAGGCGTGAGGTGCTGGGGCGGGGGCGGAGAAAACAAGGGCCCCAGGGAATAAAACCATGCACGTCGCATCCGTGAACACTCAGAGGGCTATCTGAGGGCTTCTCAGGGCGACCTGGGGGATCCTCTGGCGGCAGTATGGGTCCACAGCCGACTCGGGAAGCTTCCCGGGGGAGTCTGGAGACGTCTTGCGATTCTCTTAGAGCGTTTCTGGGCCGCCCGGGAAAGATGCAGGACCCGAAGTAGCATCCTGTGGCCTGGGACAGCCCTGTTCGCGGTCGTGGTGCCGGCCTGGGGGTTCCCAGGGGCAAGTCCCCAGTTATGTGCATCTGATGATGCGCCTCCTGAAGAGGCACGCGAGCAAAAGAAAAAGGAATAGAACGAGCTGGCAGAGTGTCGTATTGGGCATGTCGAGGCTTCAGAGGAAAGGGAGAACCAGGCCCGGAACGCGACCGGAGCAGGTGGGACTGGGCCATCGAGCCTCAGTGGAAGCTCGCCATTGCGACAGAGCTCGGAGCCGAACTCGGTGCTGCACGCGTCGGTGCGGCACGACGCGCAAGGGACAATTGTTTGCCGCACTCTGCCGCGGGCGTCGCAGCCTCCGTGTGATCGTCCTCTCCCAGCAGGCCCCCGACAGCAAACCCAGCCTTCCCAAGGTGCCTGGCGTAGAAGTTCAAGTACGGGACGCCCTGGTCCGTGCGCCCGCGGACGACCTTGAGCTCCAGCGGACCGAACTTCGTCCACCCCGCGCCCGCCTCGTGCGCCGTCTTGGCATCGAAGGTGAGACCGCCAGCGTGCGCCTCGTCCGCCCACGCCCCTGTGATGTTCAACCTTTGGAAATACATGTCCGCGCACTGCGCACCCATTCGGCGCACGTCGGCCTCCGCGACGAGCAGCGCGTCCTCCACAGGTTTTCCTGGAGGAGCAAAAAGCAACACAACCGCAAACTTTCGAAGCTCCGCGCGGCTTCTCTTCTTTGGATCGGCGCTGGGCCCCCCTGGCCGCGCCTACAGCGCCGCCCCCGGCGCGCTCTGCGCACCAGGGAGGGGGTTCCAGCGCCGATCCAGGAAACCCGGGCGGAACTGCAAAGGCTTATGCGTTTTCTTCTGCGGTCTCCACGTGGGATATTGATGAGCAAGACTTTGCCCTGCTCGGCGACTCCGAAGGGTGTGGTTTGCAAAGGGCGTGGTTTGCAACCTGCACCCTGGGGGGCGGGCGAGGACCTCGACGGGGCTCTCCGCCGCGCCCCGAGGAGGCCCGACGAAGACAATGTCGTACTCCCCAGGCCCTGACGGTGCCGATCGCAAACCATACCCCGGCGTAACCGTACCCTTTGTAGTCGCCGACCTGCCGCATCAGGTCAAATCGCTCACCGTAGACGTTCGTCAAATGCGGATCGCCAAATGCGGAAACCTGCGGGGGCGCCGTCGGGATCGGCGTGGGGCTGTCCGCTGGGCTGGCCCGTGAGAGCGCCCCGAAGCGTGCGGAGGCCCCTGGGACGGGGTCTTGAAACCCTCCTGGGTCGTCCTCGCACGCTCTGGGGCTGTGTCGGAGCCCTTCTGGGCCATCCTGGGGGCCTCCCGGAGCCCTCAGGGCCAAAGGGGGTCGCCTTGGGGGCGTCGGGGGTGCGTCTGGAGCTATCTCGGAGCAAAACTCGGAGCCTCTTGAACCGCCTTGGAAAAAACAACCGAAGGGATGCGGTGGGTCTTGCTTCTCGGGGCCCCTCTGGGGGGCCCTCTGGGGGCGCCGTGAGGCGTCTTGAAGACCCCTGGACCCTGGAGCCGACTTGAAGCCATTCGGGGCCGTCTGGGATAGCCAGGGCAGCAGCTTCCAGGCGGATTGCACATCTCCATGCAAGGCGAATATCGAATCAGCGTGAACGTCCTCAACCCTTCTACAATCGACATCCCGAAACATCCCGTGCACTACTGGCACTCGCGGACCCGGGAACCCGCTCCACGACTGCAGCTGAGGCCTCGTCATCGCTCGCTGTTTTGCGAGGGGGTCGGCTTCTGGCGCGTGCTTGGCCGAACGGAATGAGCAAGGACTGCCTGTCTTGGAACTCCATGTCTGTATGCAGCTGTCACGTGGGGGGGGCCGACCTCAGACCAACAGAGAGCACAACACACCACCTGCGGGCGGGCGCAGGGCCGAGACGGGGGCCCCTGGGCAGGAGGGGAAAGGAGCACCGCGGCCAGTACTGAAACGCCAGTGGGGGGTGGCAACCTGGGGCGGAAGCCTCTGGGGGAGGCCCCATGGGGGGAGACCTGGGCTGGTGAGCGTTCTCTCGGACCCGGCGTTTCCACAGTGGGCGGAGAGGGGGGGGGGGCGAGGGGGGGGATGTCTGGCTCCGAGCCTCTGCTTCACGCGACGGCTTGCAGCAGTGCGTCCCGCGGGGGAGACTCCACCTGCTGGAAACCGGCGCCAATGATCCTGGCGACGGACCCAACCATATACAGTTGTAGGTAGGGCAATTGTGAATATTTTCTTCGGTGGAGCTCCCTGTGGGGCCACGGAGCGCTGCACTGGGTGGGGGGGAACGCATGCGGGCGGTAGAACTGGGGCCGTCGGGCGAACTCCCTATGGGGCCAGGAAACGCCGTACCGGGTGGGGAGAAAATGCAAAACCGGGCGTGTGGGACGCATGCGGGCGGTCCCAGTGGTGGCTTCGGTGGAGCTCTCTATGGGGCCACGAAACGTATGAGGGGTGTGCCACATTTGGTTTCCGGGACGCATGCGGACGGTCCCACTGGGGGCTTCGGTTGAGCTCCCGATGGGGCCACGAAACGCTGAACTGGGTGCGTGAAAATGTCAAATTGGGTTTCCGAGACGCATGCGGACGGTCCCACTGGGGGCTTCGGTGGAGCTCTCCACAAAAAGGCCACTCCAAGACACATTTTTCTTTCAAAAATATTGATTTTCTGCTCCCGGCGCCCGGGAACCCTTCCGAGCCGATTCCGGCACCCGACCGGCGCTCGAGCCGGACGCCCGGGCCGGCGCCCGGGCCAGCGCCCGGGCCGGTTCCGGCGCCGGCCAGCGCCAGAAAATTCAATTCCGAGGCGGTGCCGAAAAAAGGCCACTCCAAGACACATTTTTCTTTCAAAAATATTGATTTTCTGCCCCCGGCGCCCAGGAACGCTTCCGGGCGGATGCCGGCACTCGAGCCGGCGCTCGAGCCAGACGCCCAAGTCGGCGCCCGGGCCGGCGCCCGGGCCGGTTTCGGCGCCGGCCGGCGCCGGAAAATTGAATTCCGAGGCGGTGCCGAAAAAAGGCCACTCCAAGACACATTTTTCTTTCAAAAATATTGATTTTCTGCTCCCGGCGCCCAGGAAACCCTTCCGAGCCGGGAAGAATCCTTCGGGGGAGCGGCCCGGGATCTCAGAGCATCCGGGGAGAGCTCTGGGGGAGAGCTCTGGGGGAAAGCTCTGGAGGAGAGCTCTGGGAGAGAGCCCTGGGGGAGAGCTCTGGGGAGAGCTGTGGGGGGGAGCTGTGGGGGAGAGCTCCGGGGGGGAGCTCTGGGGGAGAGCTCTGGGGGAGAGCTCTGGGGGAGAACTCTGGAGGAGAGCTCTGGGGGGAAGCTCTGGGGGGGAGCTCTGGGGGGAGCTCTGGGGGGGGGCTCTGGGGGAGAGCTCTGGGCTCTATAAACGAACCCCCTCCATCCTATGCAAAAAACACTATATCCTGATCATGCGCATCGCATGTATCAGAAAACCATATTTTTTACAACACATTCTGCCCGGCCGGGATCGCGGGCCCGGTCGCGGGCCCGGAAGTGTACCGGAGCTTTGTGTTGTAAAAAATACTATAACCTTAAAATCCTGCTCTTGCAAGATGTGGCCATGTTCATATTCCATTGCAAAACATACGACAAAGTGCACACGCGCGTCGCGGGCGTGGAAGTGTACCAGAGCTTTCTCTTGCACAAAATATTATAATCTTAACATCCTGCTCCAGCAAGATGTGTGCATGTTCGTATTCTATTGTAAAAAATACGACCAAGTGCACACGCGCGTCGCGGGCGTGGAAGTGTACCGGAGCTTTCTCTTGTAAAATTACTATAATCTCAACATCCTGCTCTTGCGAGATGTGTCCATGTTCATATTCCATTGCAAAAAATCTGACAAAGTGCACACGCGCGCGGCTGAGCCTTTGTCGCATGCATCCAGTGCTATCCTGTGGCAGTTCTCATCGCGTGCTTCTCAGGGTTACTTTCTTGTGCTGTTGACACGGTTCGGCGGACGCGCTTCGGTTGACACGGTTCGGTTGGCACGTTTCGGCTGACGCGGTTCTGTCGACACGCTTTGGCTGAGAGTGTTCGTCTGACATGGTTTGACTGATGCTGTTCGGTTCGGTTCGGCTGATACGGTTCGGCTGACACGGTTTTGCAGAGTCGGTTCTGATGACACGGTGCGGTTGGGACGGAGCGTCTGACACGGCATGGCTGACACGGCGCCAGTGACACGGTTGGGCTGAGACGGGTTGACACTGTGTGGCTGACACGGTTCGGATGACACGGTTCGCCAGACGCGGTTCGGTAGACACTTGGCAGACACGGTTCGTCGGACACGCTTCGGCCCACACGGATCGGCTGGCGAGCGTGTGCTGGGTCGGCATTCGCGCCCGTCAGGGTATAACATGAGAGGAGAGATGATCTTTATGTGGGGGTGGAGATGCGGGGGGGATTGATAGCCACCGCAGGTGGGTGCCAATGCAGGTAGGTATTCTTGGCCTTGCCCTGTTAGACCCTAAACTGCAGGCGCGGACCTGGGGGCGCGCACCGCCACGCCTGTAAGGATCTGCTAGTGAGAGCGAGCTGCAAGTCGAGCTCGCCGCGACCATAGGCCTGCCGGCCCGAGGCGGTGCTTCGCTTGCAAAATGATAACCCCTAACCCTCGGCCGGATGCTCGGAAATACCGCTCGGCTTTTCGCCCAGAGCTCTCCAGAGCTTTCCCCCAGAGCATTCCCCCAGAGCATTCCCCCAGAGCTCCCCCCCAGAGCTCCCCCCCAGAGCTCTCCCCTAGAGCTCTCCCCCAGAGCTCCCTCCAGAGCTCTCCCCCAGAGAGCTCTCCCCAGAGCTCTCCCCCAGAGCTCCCCCCCAGAGCTCTCCTCCAGAGCTCTCCCCCAGAGCTCTCCCCCAGAGCTCTCCCCCAGAGCTCTCCCCCAGAGCTCCCCCCCAGAGCGCTCCCCCAGAGCGCTCCCCCAGAGCTCTCCCCCAGAGCTCCCCCCCAGAGCTATCCCCAGAGCATCCTCGGGAGCCTCGTGCGCGGCCCGAAGCGCTCCCCGGAGAAGTCTCTGGCGCCTCGTGCGCGGCCCGAAGCACTAGCCAGAGGGTTCTCTCGGCGCTCGCGCGCTCAGAGCTCCCAGAGCATCGTTCCCACGGTGGTGAACCCACCATATCCCCAAGACTCCTTTCCAGGCCGTGCGTGAGAGGTTTTCACGCGTTCGCAGACGCGTTCCCAGAGCGTAAATTCGAGATTCCAAACTCGATCCCGGGACTCGGGAGCCCGGAAGCCCGGAAGCGCGTGAGCCCCTGAGGGTCGTGAGCCCGTGAGCGCGCGAGCCCGTGAGCACGTGAGCCCGTGGGCCCGTCAGCCCGTGAGTCTGTGAGTCCTTGAGCCCGGGCGCCCGTGAGCCCGGGAGCCCGTGAGCCCGTGAGCCCGTGAGCCCGTGAGCCCGTGAGCCCGTGAGCCCGTGAGTCCGCGAGTCCGTGAGCCCGGGGGCTCGGGGGCCGGGGAGTCCGGCAGCCCGGGGGCGCGCGAGCCCGCGAGGGTCGTGAGCACGTGAGCGCGTGAGCCCGTGAGCGCGTGAGCCCGTGAGCCAGCCCGCGAGCGCGTGAGCCCGCGAGTCCGTGAGCCCGTGAGCCCGTGACCCCGTGAGCCCGCGAGCCGGTGAGCCCGCGGGCCCGTGATCTCGTGAGCCCGTGACCCGTGAGCCGCTGAGCCTGTGAGTCCGTGAGTCCTTGAGCCCGTGAGTCCGTGATCCCGTGAGCTCGTGACGCCCCGGAGCTCTTCTCCTGAGCTCCTCTCCTAAGCCGACGCCCAGGAAGGCTCCAAACAGACACGCTTGAGACAGCAGCGGGGCGAAGCGACGCCCAGGGGAGCTCGAAACAGACACGCTTGAATCATCAGCGGCCCGCAGCGACACGCAGGGGAGCTCGAAACAGGCACGCCTGAGACATCAGCGGGCCGAAGCGACACCCAAAGTAGTTCCAAACATACGCGCGGGGAAGCTCGGAACAGACACGCTTGAGACAGCAGCGGGCCGAAGCGACACCTATGGGAGCTCAAATCAGACACGCTTTAGACAGCAGCTGGCCGAAGCAGCGCCCAGGGGAGCTCGAAACAGACACGCTTGAGACAGCAGCGGGCCGCGCGCACACCCAGGAGAGCTCGAAAAAGACACGCTAGAGACAGCAGCAGGCTGAAGCGACACTTCGCCGCGGGCAGCGCCGTCCAGGAGCGCGACATTGAAGCCTGTGTGCGCCTGGCGGTGCCGTCCAGGAGCGCGAAATTAAAGCCTGTGTGCGCCCGGCGGTGCAGCGCGGAGATGCCATCCGAGCGCTTGGGCGCTCTTCCTGTGCCATGCGATAGCCCTCGGGCTACCTGAAGCGCCCTGTCGT